GGGTGTGTGTGTGGAGAGGGGGGTCGGGGGATGAGGGAGGGGCGAGGGTGGGCACATGCATCCCCTTGTCCTGCTCCCGGTGGCAGCTGCTGGACCCTGCTTTAGCTCATCCTGCTGATAATTAGGGCCTCCAGCAGCCTCAGCCCTTCCCACCCTTTGGGAAATTCCCGCCTCCCCTGAGGTTGGGACTGTCCATGCCCGCTCCAAGGCAGCCATACCTGCTTGGCCAGATAGCCTTGCTTTATCACCGTGCCACTCAACTCCATGGTGCTCAGGTTAATGTCTTCCCTGAGACTTATCTTCTTCTTGTAGCTCTCAGCCTCGTGGGAAGAAAAGAAGGATTCTGTCACAAAAAGTCCCAGTTACAGGCTGTGGGGGCTACCATGGGAAAAAGGGAAATCCTTCACAGAGAAACCCATTCCACCTGGGGGTGAAGCTGTCCCCGCAACCCGAGGCCTCACCCCTGACTGTGGACCCCTTGCCCCCACTCTGTGGCCGCCCCCTTCCCTCTGCCCTGGTGGCCAAAGGAACCCTCTCCATAACTTACAAAGGTGTACAGGGCCGTGGAGTCATCCAGGAACTGCTCGGCCAGGTCCCCAGAGCGCACGGCTCCCATGCTCCGGGCGCCGACTGGACTCAGGAAGTTCTCCTCCAGGAGCATGGAGGCCAGGGTCACGGCCTCCAGACGGTTGGCTGCAAAGCCGTTGGAGATGAGCCAGTCCACCAGGGAGGAGCCTGCATCAGAGCAAGGGCAGCGCCCGTCAGACCACAGCCTACCGACCAGCGTCCTGGGGTGGGGGGCCTGGCTGTGTCCTCACTGACGGGGACCTCCTGGACGGCCTTGGGGCTCTGCACAAGAGCAGACCAATGGCCATGCCTGCTACGTGGAGCTGTGGCCACACCCACACGTGGCCATCTCAGGCCAGCCTGTTGGCCAGCAGGCGCTCTGGCCTCAACACAACTGGTCAAGCACAGCTACGTCCCAGCTCACCACGCCCCAGGTTTCCACTTCCCCCCGAGAAGGAAGGCTCACCATTGAAGGTCTTTTTGTAGGTGCTTCCCTGCTCCAGGTTGGGGCTTGGCCGGATTCCACTCCCGCTGTCGTGCATCTTGTCCACGATGCGACTACACGGGAGGAAGGCAAGGACAGGGGCCCCTCATCACACTGACAGAGGAAGGCAAGGACAGGGGCCCCTCATCACACTGACAGATAGGAGAAAGGGCCTATGGGTAGTGGGCAAGTGGCAAACGGTGCGATGCGCACCACAAAGAAAGAGGGGGCAGAATGTGAGAGGTAGGTAGGATTTTAGATTTTTTTTTCATGCTCATCTAAATGTTCTAATATTTCTATGCTAGACAGTTATTGCTTTTGTAGTAAAACTAAAGAGCTGTGACTTCTGCTGCTTGGGGGTTAGGAGTTTTTCCTGTAAACGGGCTGTTGCAAGTTTCCATGATGGGAACTCCTTTCATACACCCCTACTTTACACTCTCGCCTCCACTGCCGACCTGCTTTCCTTCTGTTCTGTGGGATGATTCCTGCCACCAATGGAAGGTCTTTTCTCATTTGCTGGTTATGTACTTGGGCTGGGAAGCCCCTGTGACGGGACCCTGTTTATCCCTATTTGCATCTCCTGAGGATCTAGTGCAGTAGGCGCTCAAGAACTATGTCTTGAGTGAGTGAATGAGTCGATGAGGAATACTACAGGGCAAGAATGCAACTGCTTCCAGAACACGTCATTCTTGCCACCAGGGGGCGAACATGCCCACGATTGGTGAGTGGAGGTTCCTGGAGCTGTGCGGTGGCCCTGAGCACCTGGCTGAAACTGGAGGGAGGCTCTCAAGTCGCCAAGGTGGGCTGAAGCAGCCGAAGCCCCAAAGGGGAAGGGTTACGTAGGAGCAGGGCCATTCCCAGGCAGAGAAAATAATACAAACAGGGCAGTGACAGCAAAAGGCCCTGAAGCACGTTGGCGGAAGCAGCCAGGCCCATTAGCAACAACAGAGCCCCCTCCCATCGCACACAGAGGGAGAGGCCGCAGCAGAGGCAGGCAGAGCACGGACAGGGGCCGGGCACTCACTGCAGGCTGATGTGAGGGGGCAGCTTGAAGGAGTTTCTCTGTATGTGGAGCTGCTGGACCTTCCCCGGCTGCCCAGCGTGAATCGCCCCTGTGATCTCAAAGGCCCAGGCGTCCCTGTCCTCCCGAGAACAGGCCTCCAGGAAGTATTCTGTGGATGTGCGAGTCTTCAGCTTAATGAGGAGCTGGGGGGAGAGACAGCCAGCAGGACCGGCACTCAGACGTAAGGTACCTTCTTTATGGATCTAGCAGTCTTACTAGGAACCAAGCTTCCTTCCTCCTGTTAGTCTTCCTAACAGTTTTCACCAGTCCATTCTCTCACTCAAAACCTTCAGTGGCTCCCCATTCCCTCCACGTGGCCCCCGCCACTCTCCACGGCTCCCTCAGGGAGCGTTTTCCCTTGGCCACACGGGCCATCCTCATCTCCAAACCCATCCCTCTGGAACATCCACCTGCCTGGAACGTCAGCCTCTCTCTTCTTCTAGGTCGTTGCCCCCGTCTCCATTCCTCGCAAAGCAAAGCCGCACCTGACCCAGCCGGCTCCCTCCTCTGCGGATACAGTGCTCTGTACGGCTAGTAATGTTGGAACCACCCTTTGAAACACTGAATGTTTTTCGATTAACCACTTGCTTTCCTAATAAGATTATTAAACTGGAGAAGAAGCGATCTTACTATTTTCTTCCTCGACTCCTCCAAGCCTAGCTAATTCCTTGGCACATACTGGGCCTTCGAGAAATGATTGAGTCAGACGCTTTTTTGATGGTAGGGTGGATGCTGCCCCTGGCTTTTGGAACATGCGCCCCGTGGAGACAAAAGCCATCATATTGCTTTGATGACTCACATATTTTTCAGTGCCTCCTAGCCTACAGGATCCCATTGCATCCATGGGACATGGCCATCATTTTTTATCCCATTTTATAGACAAGGAGCTAAGGCTCAGAGAGGTTCATTACTTGCCCAAGGCCCAGCACGTGGTGAGGCCAGGATTGGAACCAGGTTTTTCAATAACTCAGCTCTTCCCATTACCCACACCCCCTTCATCAGAGGCCGGGAGGGAGGGGGTGCTGATCCGGGACAAGGAGGAGCTGGGAAGCCGGCCTTCACTTACCGGTCGATTTTCATACTCCAGGCAGGGGCAGGTGATGGTGCAGCCATCCAGGAGGATCTGGCCCTTGGGAGGGTTCACCTTCCGACCCCCCTCGAGCTTGTAGTACAGCAGCGTGTTCTGCCGAAGGACGAACCACCGGGCCTTCCAGTTGTGGACAATGTGACCCTGAGGACAGACAGCAGAGCCCTGTGGTGAGGTGCTGGGGGACAACACTGTGTCCAGGGAGAGGGGCCCATGGTGCAGGTGGCCAGCCATTCTCCAGGCATTGGCCTTCTCATTCCTACTTGGCCTTTTTTCTGCCTATAAACCTTGAAAGACACTGCTAAGTATCATCAGGAGACAGACATTGCTAACATTCAGTATTTCCTTCTAGTCTTTTTTCCTTTTAGTATTTACTTTCTAGTTGTTGTTTTTTAAATCAGGACTATACTGCATGTACTTTTATTTTCTAGGTTGTTGTTTTGTTGAGCTTTGCTGAGTATCGTCTCACACCATTAAATTTCTCTAAAATATTTTTAAAATATATTTTTATTGATTTCAAAGAGAAGAAAGGAGGAGAGAGAGAGAAATATCAATGAGAGAGAAACACCCATCAGCTGTTTCCTACACGTCCCCTAATGGGGAACCAGGAGAGGACACTCAACCAACTGAGCCACACCGGACAGGCTAAGCTAAAACATATTTTTAAATGACCACTAGGTGGATGCATCGTTTACTTGTCAAGCTCCTGCCTTTGTAACAGGTTGTTTTGTTTTTCACTATTATAAATAATTCTGCAATGAATATCCTTGCATATAAATTTTGATCTGCAACTGATTTTTTTTTTTTTAGTATTTTATTGATTTTTTTACAGAGAGGAAGGGAGATGGATAGAGAGTTAGAAACATCGATGAGAGAGAAACATCGATCAGCTGCCTCCTGCACAATCCCCACTGGGGATGTGCCCGCAACCAAGGTACATGCCCTTGACCGGACTCGAACCTGGGACCCTTGAGTCCGCAGGCCGACGCTCTATCCACTGAGCCAAACCGGTCAGGGCATGATTTTTTTTCCCTTAGGATATATTCCTAGAAAGACTATTGCTAGTCAGAGGATGTGGGCAATTTGTAAAACCGAAGCCACACATGGTCTAGCAGTCCTAGGATGCCAGGTCTTACCTGCCGCGCCAGGCCTACAAGGCAGGGTAGTTTGGGAGCTCTCAGAAGGACCATAGAGTCCATGGATAGCACAGTCCAATGAAGGCAGAGAGCCTGTTTCTAGAACAGACCAGAGGATGGGGGGATGTCTGCTGAGGAATCAGAAAGGAATGGATTTAGAACACACTCATGAATCTACTTTCTTGGCATGTTTTCCGGAGCAGAGCCCAATACAGGCTAGAAGATTCTAACCAAGAGATGCGCTTCACCTGAATCAGAGACCATTTCCCTATTTGCTCATTTCCTCACCGAGAGCCTATTCCCTGCCGCCCTCACCGTGCTGTGACTCTATGCCGTGCTCGGTGTGTGCTGAGTGCTGTTGGGGAGACAACAACTGTATTGACCTCAGGAACAGTGGCCTGCACCCAAACAACCAAATCAGACTTCTGACAGAGTTCACCTGACAGGAGCTCCTTACTGCATCCAAGTGTTCCCACGCTGCCTGCTGATCAAGCTGTTCACAGGAGAGCACTCAGGCAGTCAAGTTGAACTTGACACTTTTGCTCTCTCCACTCTGTCCCGCACTTAGAGCCCATGTGTGAGATGACAGCTAACAGCTTCCCTTGACATGTCAGACATGTTTAAAGAAACAAAAAAGATTTGTCTCCAACTCCTCAGCAGTTGGGGTTCTCTACTGCCCTGCCCCTGGCCTGTCCCGATGGTGCGGGGGGGTGGGGGGGGGCCTGCAGTAGGGTCGGCAGCAAATTGCTGGCACACAGGTTACGGCTGGTGCAGCAAGAGAAGAAGGCGATCTAAGTTGATGATATGGGTGCTGATGTGAGGTAGAGAAGGGGCAAGGATGAAATAATCTTCAACTTAAAACACAGGTGTTATGAGCTGAATTATGTGTCTCCCCCCAAAAAGATCAGACATTGAAGCCCTAACCCCCACTACCTCAGAATGGGACTATTTGGAGATAAAGCCTTGAAAGAGGTGATTAGGTTAAAAGAAGGCCTTGGGTGGGCCCTAATCTAACCTGTTTTGGGTCCTCAGAGCAAGAGGAAATTTGGACACACAGAGAGGCATCAGGGAGACGTGTGCGCAGAGGGAAGACCGTGTGGACGCACAGCAAGAAGGTGGACACGTGCAAGCCGAGGAGAGAGGCCTCAGAGGAAACCAGTCCTGCTGACACCTTGATCGTGGACTCTAGCCTCCAGAACTGGGAGAAAGTAAATCCCTCTTGTCTAAACCGTCCTGTCTGTGGTATTTTGTTACAGCAGCCCGAGCAAATTAAATCACCAGGGAAAGCCCTGGCCGGTTTGATAGAGTGGATAGAGCGTCAGCCTGCGGACTGAAGAGTCCTGGGTTCAATTCCAGTCAAGAGTACATGCCTGGGTTGTGGGCTCGACCCCCAGTGGAGGGTGTGTAGGAGGCAGCTGATCAGTGATTCTCTCTCAACATTGATGTTTCTATTTCTCCCTCTCCCTTCCTCTCTGAAATCAATAAAATATGTATTTAAATAAATCACCAGGGAAAGAAAAAGGAGGCAGGAGATGTTGCAGAGAAAAGTGTAACCAGCAGAGGTTGAGCAGAACAAGCCAATAAGGAGATATTGTTCCTTCCTGGACAACATGCTACATTTCCCAGAATCCCTGGCACAAAGGGAGCAGGTAGCTGCCCAAGTTGCTGCCAGTCACATGCACTGAAGCCTGTTTGGCAGCAACCAAACATGGGAAACAGGAAGTTGTGGCAAGGACGTCTGGAAGAACAGATGTGGTTCTGCCACCAGCCCCAGGGTTATCGTCACAAGTGGCAGTGGCAGCCGTGGTTCCCACGTCTGGGGGGCTGTTGGGCATTTTTGTCTGGCTGCAGCATCCCTGGCTGCATGGCATCCCAGCCAGGTTCTCAGCCCTCCCAAATACTCCTGAGTTCCTTAGTATTTATTATTCTCCGTGAAACCCCTACTGTTCAAACTCGCCAGTGGTGTGTGTTATAAGCAGCTAAGAGTCCTGACTGCTGGCAAAGGAGAGGGGGCTGAGGAGAAAGGCCAGTGAGAGGGATTTACTGTGTAGGTAGAAAACTCAGAGCAGCTGGTGGTCCTTGTAAAATATGTTCAGATTCTGTGACCCAATAATCCCACGTACCGGGACCTGTGCTAAGTAAACGTTAGGTTTTATGTACCGAGACCATCAAAGGATCATAACTTATCAGCGTAAAAACATGCAAAATATTCTGATGTGTAACAATACTGTGTGGCTGCCGTGGAGGGATTCCAGCCTCACAGATGGCAGGAGAGGCCACGGGGGGGGGGGGGGGGGGGGGGGGGCGGGGGAGTCCCCAGGTCAGACCCAGCGCAGCCATGGCCTCTATCTTGAGCAAAGCACTCTTACTTGCATTACTTCATATGAGACCCAAAAACAACTCTACTGTTATTTTAGAAAAGTTCTGGAAGGATACCCCCAAACGGTTAGTCCCATCCTCTCTAGGCACCAAGACTGGATGCGGGGACTTAAAATGGAAACTTATTTTTCATTTCCCAACCTTATGTTTCTAGTTTTTTTAAAAAAAATAATATGCACGTGTTATTTTTATAATGGAAAATGAATTTAAATTCAAATAAACAAAAATCCTGACATGATGATTAGGGAAAGCATTCATTCCTTTATCTTTTCATTCAACAGCCAGTGACTAAATGCTTCTGCACCAAGCACCGTGCTGGTGGCAGGGACACCAAGATGAACATCTGACCCAAGACAGTGGGGGAGACGGATGACGACCCCACTCAGTGTGGTGAGTTCCGGGACAGACGACTGATGCCCCCCACGATCCCCACCTCCTGGTATTCACACCCTGTGCAGTCTCTTCCCACACGGTTCAGGGCTTGGTCTGCGTGACCAAGAGAATATGGCAGAGTGATGGTTTGTCACTGCTGACATCAGGTTATAAGACTCTGTAGCTATAGACTTGGGCTCTCTCTCTCTCTCTCTCCTGCCCCCCTTCCA